TATCACTACAGAAGTAGATTGCCCAACCTTCCTTCCAAGGAGTGGCTGGTGGGTTTGAACTGTCAGCCTTCTGGTTAGCAGTCAAGTGCCTTAGGCACTATGCTACCAGAGATCCATAATAGTGCTTGGGATGTTTAAAGTAACGTTCCAGAAGCTAAGAACAAATTTAGACATTTGCAATGCCACTAGCCTTTCCATGTGGACAGCTCTGCCCTAGATCTTTCAGAAGCTTAGGTATTTTTGGCAGAAAGTAGCAAAAATAGGTCACAGAGAAATGGTGGCTTTTTGAAACTACAGCAGATTATCCTGAAGTATTCATTATTTATTATTGAATCATACATTATTTCTCTCCCTCTCATTAGAGCACTGATGTAATTTTTAAGCCCCAGTGACAGGTCTGCATCATTGAATGGGATGTAGCTCCTCTGTACTAGGGTGGTTAGTGGGACAAAGATGTGGCAGTCTGCTGCTGTAAAGATTATAGCCTTTGAAACCCAGTGGGGCAGATCTCCCCTGTCCTAGAGAGTCACTGTGAGTCTGCTTCAACTCAGTAGCAATAGGATTGGTTTTGGGGTTAGAGTGGTTGGCACTACCACTCTCCACTCAAAGAGGGAGAAAAGTCCTATGGTCAACCTTAGTTACATGTCATGGATCCATTTCTAATTTCTAATACTTAGGATTAACTTGCAATTTTGAATTTTCACCATTAAATCCCCTGAACAAGGGATTTAATTTTAAGTAATTTTGCCCTATGCTCAGTTTATTTATTTTCATCCTTAGGACTGAGAGACAGGATGGTGATGGTTGAGAGACACTTTGTCTTTTCTATTTAAGAACTCTGCAATGGCAAGGCCAGACACCAGGACTTTCTTCATGAAGTTTCATGAAGTTTCTAAATCCTGTGGGACCCAGTGAAGGGTCTTTCTTCCAACAGAAGTGGAGATGGCTGAAGGTCGAGAGAGTCTATGACCCAGGCCCTCTCCTACAACACTGGTTCCTCATTACCTGGCTGTGGGACTCAGATTCACTCTCATCCAGCCTGAAAGTAATTTATACTATTATTCCTTTTGAATGTTTATAGGATGTGGCTTCTCAAAGGCCAGCTCCTCCAAAGTTGGCCTGAGTTGCTGTGTCCATTACGGGACGCTCTCCTACACCTGTGGGCACAATAAAACAGAGATGCCGGAGGCAGCTGGGCACATACTGCAGGAAGCCCAAGAGCAAGGAGCCCCAGGTCCCCACTAGGGTAACAGGGACAACCTGCCAGATAGGAAGGAGGAGGATCTCAGACAATCAGAAAACTGGAATCTCCATTGAAGACGAATGTGGGTTCCTGAGGCCCACTAGGGAGAACAGGGCCTGGGAGTAGAGTAGTCTAGGGAAAAAATGGGTGGAGCTCAGAGGACGTCAGCATTGGCACAGTCACCCAGGTCATCGGTGGTTCTTATGACTAGTTTGGTTCAGGTAAAGATCACTGAAAAAATTAAACCAGGTGCTATCCATTCTGGCTTCCTGTAACCCTATGTGTGTCAGAGTGAAACTGTGCTTGACAGGGTTTTCAGAGGCTGATTTTTCAGAAGTGGCTCACCAGCCCTTTTTATTACCACCTCTGGGTAGACCAGAAGCTGTACCATTTCCTCAGCAGCTGAGCATGTGAACCATTTGTACTGCCAATGGACTCCAGGTAAACAAAGCGTAACTTAACCTCCGACTTTCACAGCATCCCCCTTCCTAACCAGGCTGATGATGGCTGACGTGGGACAGCAGAAAGATAAAGGAAATAGCTTTACTAAACGAAGACCTAAAAATACATGATACGCATTTTGATCTCTATCTTAAGAAGTTACAACAAGAGTGTCCCAGACCTGAAACCACTATTTCTGAACATTATGCCTATAGATAAAATGTTCCTATGGTTTTGCTAGGAGCTCTGGTAGCATAGTGCCTAAGGCACTTGACTGCTAACCAGGAGGCTGGCGGTTCAAACCCACCAGCCACTCCTCGGAAGGAAGGTTGGGCAATCCTACTTCTGTAGTGATAACTGCCTCGGAAACCCAAGGAGGGGTCGCTAGGAGTCGGGGCCGACTTGGTGGCAAATAACAACAACAACAACAACATGGTTTTGCTATACTGAAAGGTCTGATATTGCAAAAGAAGGTACTTTTATCCCAGACGACAACATGCGGCATGGGTATGAATGTATTCTAAGCTTCTCTGGGACTTCAAAATTACACAGATGTAAATTAGAGGAAAGACAGGGTTTCACTCTTAAAGCTAATACATTTCCTTACAGTTTATAGACACTGATCACATCATGCTGCTAAGTGATGTGATCAGTGTGTTTGCCTTAAGTGCAGGGAAACCATTCTGCACAACACTGTAAGGATGGATACATGATGTTATGTGCTTGTCAAAACCCACAGGACTGCACTAAGAGTGAACCCTAATGTAAACTATGGGCTTCATTTATATAGCAATGTATCAATATTTTTATCAATTGTAACAAACGTGCCACATGAAAATGCAAGATGTTAATAGCAGGAGAACTGTAGGGGGGGTGGTGAAGGAGGATATAGAAACTGAATTTTCTGCACAATTTTCTATAATCTTAAAACTTCTCTAACAAATAAAATTTATTAAAGCAAATAAATCTTTTTTTTTCCGAGTGCCTTTTGCAGGCTTGTGACATGCTTCTGGGTTGGGGTCGGGAGCAGGCTGTGGATTCCACATCCATCATGCTAACTCTGAATATTTAGGTGAACGCCCGCCTCAGACCCCTCAGACCCTAATCACACCACTTAAACCTGACTGTTAGATAACAGCACACCCAATGCTACTGTCAAACCATTAACCAGATTTGAATGTATGCACATTTCTTAGTCTTCATGTTAAATGGGTGCATTTTTTGCATTATGTTTCTGAGTTTGGATTACTTCTCATGTAAAGTTAAAGTTCTGTCCTATTTCCATAATCCTTTCAAAATAATTCAGGTCAGGAAAAATA